GCTCCAAAGCGGCCCACTGACGAATGAAAGTGGAAAAGGAGGAAGAGGAGGAGGGGCAGGAGAAGGAAGAGAACGTTGCGGCTGCACGGGATCCCCAGGCGGCACAAGCAGCCCCAAAACAGTCCGTAATGTTCCCTCACGCACATGCCCCTCCCCCTCCCCCCGCGCGCATCCTTTGCCCCGTTCACTACCTCGCGCCCTCCCTTGGTGCCAGATTGCCCCGCCTGCATTTGTGTTCTTTATCCCGCTGTCAGCCTCTTCCCCCCCTTCCTCTGTTTCACTGCTCCCTCTACCTCCTCTACCTCCTCCCCCCGTCCACCCTTCAGACATCATCCGCCCGTCCCCCCGTGCTCCTCATTATCCTGCCCCACCCCCCTCCACACATCATCATCATCATCATCATCATCATCATCATCATCATCATCATCATCATCATCATCATCATCATCATCATCATCATCATCATTCAGAGCAGCAGCAGCAGCAGCAGCAGCATCATCAGCATCATCATCATCATCATCATCATCATTATCATTATCATTATCATTATCATCATCATCATCATCATCATCATCATCATCATCATCATCATCATCATCGTCATTAGCATTATCATTATCAGCATCATCATCACCATCACCATCAGCATCAGCATCATCATCAGCATCATCATCAGCAGCAGCATCATCAGTATCATCATTACCATTATCAGTATCACTATCATCATCATATTCATCAGCATCATCAGCATCCGCATCACCATCATTAGTATTACTAGTATCAGTAGCACTATCCTCATAATTATCGTTATCATCATCATCACCATCATCAGCATCAGCATCATCGTCTGCATCATCATCAGCATCATCATCATCATCAAGGTCATCATCGTCATCATCATCAGCATCATCATCAGAATCATCATCATCAGCATCATCATAATCATCATCATAATCATCAGCATCAGCATCATCAACATCAGCATCATCATCACCGTCATCATCCTCATCATCATCATCATCATCATATGCATAAACCTCATCATCATAAGCATCATCATCATCCTTATCCTCGCCGTCGTCGTCATCATCACCATCATCATTATATTCAGTATCATCATTATCATCAACATCCTCATCATAATCCTCATAATCATCATCACCATCATCATCCGATCACCATCACCATTCATCATCATCAGCAGCAGCATCGTCATCATCATTATCATCCTCCGCCTCGTCATCATCATCATTACATCCTCATCACCATCAGCATCACCCGATCATCATAATCATCACCATCATCATCATCATCACCATCACCATCACCATCATCATTGTTATCATCATCAATCACCATCATCGTCATTACCATCATCCTCATCACCATGAAGCGGTCATGGACCTCGTTGTCGCCTTCCCTGCCAGCGCCGAGCGCTGATGGCCGGACGTCTCCGACTGGTCGCCCTTCAATCCTTCGCTGGCCGACGCTGGCCGCGCCCCCGCTGCCGCCGGTGCATCTGGCGACAGGGCCAAGGCGATGCGCGATTGCGAGCAGGTCGGGGCGGGCGGCCGCCTCAGAGCCTGCGCCGCCGCGGCGCTCGCGGAGCTCGCGGCCGCTTCGGAGGCGCCGCGGCACCACGGCGCGGCACCACGGCGCGGCGGCACGCCGAGCGGCTTTGCACCGTGGTGGTTCTGCGGGCGGCGGACGCCACAGTCGCCGCCCTTGGCTGCTAGCCTGCCGCCGGCGCGACACGCAGACTTCAGCTTGACCTCGGCCACCCGCACGTGTCCCGATCATCACCATCATCATCACCATCATCACCAGCAGCATCAGCATCACCGTCATCAGCATCATCATCGTAATGGTCATCATCATCATCATCATCATCATCATCATCATCATCATCATCATCATCATCATCATCATCATCATCATCATCATCATCCCCATCATCATCATCATCAGCATCATCATCACCATCGTCAGCATTAATTATCATCATGCCCATCGCCATCATCATCGTCATCGTCAGCATCAGCATCACCATCATCATCATCATCATCATCATCATCATCATCATCATCATCATCATCATCATGATCATCATCATCATCATCATCATCATCATCATCATCATCATCATCATCATCATCATCATCATTTTTCAACACCTCGTCCCCCACCACCATCCTCATCCGCATCCCCGTGCCCCCTCCCCTTTCCTCCTTGCATTTCGCGCCGCCACAGTTCGTCCTTCCCCCTGGTGCTTGAAAATGATCTGCTCAGGTGTTTGACGGGTTGTCGGGATCTCCTCCTATTCGGATTCGCGGGCGCCCAAGAGAGCCGACAGACGGCCCGAGGCGGCCCGAGATGCCACTGGGAAGATCCCCAAAAGAGGGGCCCAAGATAAGAAATTCCGCGGAGCTTCGGATGCCCTCCCCCAAGTATTTGCAGGGAAACGAAGGAACAGACAGACCACCAGAGAGGCAATGGACAGGTAATGAAAGATGGCCCCACAGGGCTCCAAGAGGGCTTCAGCGGCCCCCAGAGGGTCACAAAGGGGCGCCAGAAGGTTCCAAAACGGCCTTGTTTATCTCCTTGTTCTCTTCTTCCTCCCCCGCTGTTGCTTCGCGCCAGCCTGCCGGAGACTGTCCGCTCGCGACTACTTGCAGACCGCGCAGTTCTAGCTGAGAGCCAAGACCGGGTATACACCCACTGCTCGACTTCTTCTTGGCGCAGCGTTTATCCAGCAGTTTCCGAGAAACTTCTCCAGAAGTTTCCGAACACCCGTGCACGTGCACACGGTCAACTGCTCGTCAGGTCGGCAGTGCGACCTGGTCGTTGTTGCGCGCAGCCACCGCTGGTGGCCTTCATCGGCGAAGGGCTGGGTTGCCGGAGTCTACACACAGAACCACCAGCTTCTCCAGCTGAAGAAATCGGCCACGCGTAAGAGTGACGTTTCGCTGGAATGACCGTTGGTGCGGGCCCACTCGGGTTCCCTGATCGCTGAATGTGATGCGATAGCAGCGGCTTGAGCGCTTGGATTTGACCGCCCCCCCCGCGCCCCCCTTAAAGCCGCGCGCCAAAGGTCACTATTGCCTAGGGTCACTCTCGCGCGTAATCGAAGATCAACAGAGGGCTCCGAAATGGCCCCAAGAGAGCCCGGGGGGATGCCGCGGCATCCCCTAGACGCTTCCGCGATATCCCACATAGCCCAAATACGGCGACAAGAGAGTCGGAGAAGCTCCCAAGAAGCCCCGAAAAGGCTCCAGGATCACCCCCCGTTGGCCCTCCTACGAGCACATAACTGTCATATACCTTAG